TTCTCTGTGCTTCCTGGACTTGTAAGTCTATTTCTTTCACCAGGTAGGGGAAGTTTTCTGTCATTATTTCTTCAAATAGGTTTTCAATATCTTGCTCTCTCTCTTCTTCTGGCACCCCCATAATGTGAATGCTGGTAACTTGAAGTTGTCCCAGAGGCTCCTTACACTATCTTCATATTTTTGGATTCTTTTTTCGTTTTCCTCTTCTGGTTGAGTGTTTTTTGCTTCCTCATATTTCAAATCATTGACTTGATTCTTGGAATCATCTAGTCTACTGTTGAATCCTTGTATATTATTCTTTATTTCAGTCAGTGTAGCTTAATTTCTGACTGTTCCTTTTCCATTTTTTTGGCATTCTCACTAAGATCCATGTAGGTCTGACTAAGTTCCTCGGAGGTTTCTAGAAAATTCTTGAGTAATCTTGTAAGTGGTTTTGAACCCTATATCCAATAGTTTGCTTTCTTCCATTTCTTTCATTTGTGACATGTTTTTTTGTCTCCACATTTTGCCTGCTTCCCTGTGTTCATTTTTATGTATTGGGTTGCTGCTAAGTCTCCTTGAGTTGATAGAGTGGCCTTGTGTAGTAGGTGTCCTATAGGGCCCAGCAGCTCAGCCTCCCCAATCACCTGATGTGGACTCTCTTGGTGCACCCCTTTGTGGGCTGTGTGCACAGTCTTGTTATAGTTGAGCCTTGATTGCTGTTAGTATCACTGGTAGGAATTGACCTCCAGCCCAATTGGCTGTGGGACCAGCTATGTTTACAATGGAAGAGCTGTTGTGCAGGAGACACTCTTATGGGGCAGGACTTTCTTCAGTGGGGCTTTGGTGCTCACTGAGTCTGTCCCTTGCGTGTGTCGCTTATGGATGTGAAGAGTTGTAATCTGGATGGTGTTACTCTGACCACTGGGTACACTGAGTCTTCGATCTCCAAGGAGGTGCATAGTCATCCGCTGCCTGTGGCCACCCAGCTGGAGCTACAGAGAGATCTGCAATTTCCTCCTCTTTGTATCAGGTTTGGAAGTGCCCAGACGAGGCCCAGCTGTGAAGTAAGGCAGGCTGCTGCTGGTGCGGCCTTGGGCCTTCTTTTGATGGCTTTGGGGCTCCCTGACCCAGCTGCAGCTTGTTTAACAAGTTTTAGGCTGAGAAAGGACAGGCCATTCATATGCAAAAGCCGCTGTGCACAGCTTGGGTGGCTTTGTAAATTGGGGAAGGAGGGGTCTCAGGGACTCTCCAGGGCAGATCAAACAGCAATGGCTGTCATTCATCCCTGGGACGGGGGTGGTCCCAATAAAGGAACAGTGACCATTGCGAGCACCTCCATCTGGAAGAAAGCCGCCCCTGCATTCCTGCCCCGATGCCAGACAGTCCAGTTTCTCCCCTTATCTGTCTGGGTCCCCCAGAGCCTCACCCAGCACTGGAGCTCAGAGCAAGGGGGAGCTTGTATCTCCCTACCAATTAAAAAAGCAGCACACCCGGGTGCCAGCCTGTTTCATGCATCCACACTTCCTACCAGTCTCAGTGCGCTTTCTTTTTTACCTCTCTAGTTGTAGCACTTCTACTCAGCATTCCCACAGTTCTGGATGATAGTTGGTATATTTTAGTTGTAATTTTGATATGGTTGTGGGAGGCAGCAAGTACAGGTGTTTACCTATGCCGCCAACTTGGTTCTCCCCTTTGTAGACATTTTTCAACCCCATACTTATTTCCAAACAACTTATAATATGCTTCCTGGTTTTCTTGTTTTGTTTTTTCTAGAATTTCATATTACAATATGTACTCTTGTGTCTGGTTTCTCCCCTTGACATAATGTTTAATATTCATCAATATTGATGTCATTACCAGTAGTTCATCTTTATTGCTGGGAAATATTTAATTGCATGGTATATACTTTAGGTAATAATTTAGGGAGCCTTTGTATTTTTATTCTTTTAAAAATATTACTGTACTTTAGTTTTAATTAGGTGTAATAAATTGTAGTACATTATGCAATGAAACGTCATTTTATTTATACTATTCTAAAATTTTAATTATTTTGTTGTATTTTTTACCTAGCGTTTTAAAATTTCAGTTTAGCAAGATTTAAAATACCACACATATATTGCCCTGGCTGAGTAGCTCAATTGGTTAGAGAGTCGTCCTGATATGCCAAGGTGGTGGGTTCCATTCCTGGTCGAGGCACATACAAGAATCAACCAATGAATGAATAAATAAGTGGTATAACAAATTGATATTTTTCTCTCTAAAATCAATAAGTAAATTAATCAACTAAAAGTATATATATAAATATATTATGATGATTTGTTGATTCTAGAATGTGAAATTTAAATTTGAATAATCATTAAGTTTTTAAAATTAAGTTTTATTTTACCCAATAGCATTAAATACTGCCTACTTGTTTTTATTTCAATTAGTAGTTGCTTTCTTTTACTTTACCTGAACTATATGAGGGTGAAGGTATAAATGAATTCTTTTTCTGCTGTTTCTTTAGCATTTTGTTTCTTTGGATTTTTCCTACATAGGATTTTTCATTTTTTGAAAATTAAATTAATGAGAACTATTTATTTTGACAGGCCTTTGGAAATGCAAAGACGGCTCATAATAATAATTCAAGTCGTTTTGGCAAGTTTATTCAAGTAAATTACCAAGAAACAGGCACTGTACTTGGGTAAGTAGCAATGTCAGGCTTTGGAGCATGTTTATATTTTTGCTAGTGGCCCGATGCACGAAATCCGTGCAAGAGTAGGCCTTCCTTCCCCTAGCTGCTGGCACCGGCTTCCCTCTGGCACCCAGGACCTGGACTCCCTCTGGCCGCTGGCAGGCACCCGGACCCGGGCTTACCACCAGCCACTGGCAGGCACTCGGGACCCACCTTTCCTCAGGCCCCAGCTTAGTCCGGAAGGATATCTGGTCTAATTAGCATATTACCCTTTTATTATTAAAAATGACTAGAGGCCTGGTGCATGAAATTTGTGCACGGGTAGGGTCCCTAGGCCTGGCTGGCGATCAGGGTCGATCTGTGTGGCGACTGGCGGGGTGATGGGGTGCCCCCCACTGGCACACACCTTGCCCTGGGGACTGCGGGCTGGGATAGCTCCTGCATTGATTGTCTGCCCCTTGGTGGTCAATGTACGTCATAGCGACCGGTCGTTCCACTGTTCAGTCGAATTGCATATTAGGCTTTTATTGTATAGATTTGTTCCTTTATTAGCAATAGATTGTTCATTTGATCTTTAATGAGAATAGTGATACTGGGAAGCATTTTTTTTTGTTAATCCTCATCCAAGGATATTTTTACATTGATATTTAGTGAGAGTGGCAGAGAGGGAAAGTCAGAGAGAAACATCGATGTGAGAGAAGCATACCAATTGGTTTCCTCCTGCATGAGCCCTGACCAGGGGGCCTGGGCCCAGGAGAAGCTTGCAACCAAGGTATGCGCCTTTGACTGGAATCAAACCTGGGACCCTTTGTTCTCAGGCCGACGCTCTATCCACTGATCCAAACCAACAGTGGGAAGCAGATTTTTAATGGTGTCTGCATTAAAATTTCTTAAGACTTTTTTTCTTTTGGAATCTAATCTTACCTAATAATAGACAAACATAGTAATTGACCATACCTTCGCTACGCCTCCCATTGGCTCATCAGCAAGATATGCAAATTAACTGCCAACAAAGGTGGCGGCCGGCAGCCACGGAGCTGGAACGAGCAGGAGGCTTGCTTGCTCCAGTGATGGAGGAAGACAAGGTTCCCCGCCTGGCGCGGCCCGGATCTGAGCTACACTCTAAGCAACAAAGTTTCAATTATAGAAGGTAAATAAACCCCAGATACCTGCTTTCAGCCGGCCGTGGCCACTGAGCTGGAGCCTTGGGTTGCCCCTGGCGATGGAGGAAGCCAAGCCCCGGCC